TCTTTACTTTGCTTATAACATGTGTCTTGACTTACAACAAAGTTTTTTTTTTTTTTTGTTTTTTTTTGTTTTTAATCGATGTCCTGTTTTATTTGCTGTTTTGAAGAAAGTAATCTGCAACAGAAATTCGAAATGAATGCATTCAAAAGGCAGAAATATATTCATAACTTTTGTCATATTTTCTCGGTTTGTATATATTTTTTATTTGAATATATTTGATAAGTTGGACTTTTTAAGGGGAACAAGTGTGCGGGTCGATGAAGCTGTTTTTCGCTAACCCAAAGTCAGGTGTTATCCGTAAGGATGGAGCTTGTTCCTAAATTTCCTTCGTAAAAAAGCCTTAAATCCAGATCTTAAATTGCGCCAGAGCCTACCGGAGCCCGGCTCCGGTACTTCTTAGTTTCGGGGATAAATCATAATTCTAGCTGGAGCGGACCGGAGTCTTAAAAACAGAAGGCTCCGGAGCTTCATTTATGTAACTGAACAACAATTTCAGTAGAAATTTGATCTCGAAAATTTTATTTTTTGCAATAAAATTATATTACAAATCGCTTATTAAATTTAAATATATCTATTTACATTTTATGTAATTTTAATTATTTAATTACTTTAATCTTTCATTATCTATTTATTTTAATAATAATAATAAATTTTATTTAATTACATAATAATCGTTACTTAAAAATAATTGAAAATATTAATTAAATAATAATTAATTTCTTAATAATCAACTGTTTAATTTTTAAATTATTAATGATTTTAATAGTCATTTTATTTATTTCTTTACTTTTGTTTCTCTTTGCTGACGGTCTTCCATAGGCCATTCTAAAATTAGACACTTCTAAATAGGCACTTCTAATTTTAAAAGTGCCTATTTAGAAGTGCCCATTTCCGGCACTTCTAATTTTAGAAATTAAGCCTGCTTAAATCCGAAGTAATTTGCACTCTCGTGACTTTCTAACTCATTCCTTCACCTCGAAGGCAACCGCTTTCTCGTTTTTGTAAGTATTCAAAACTTTACAAACAAACTGTAGTTTATTTTGAAATACAATAAGTATTTTTATTTGAAATTAAGTGAAACTTGGTTGTTTATTAAATTAATTGATTAAAATATATCATACTAATTAATTAATTAATTAGTTGATTTAAAATTAATTAATTGTTTAATTATAACTGATCATATTTTACACATTATTATATGTTTTAAGTCATTCAATATTATTTTCTTCATCAGAATCAAAGGATAATTAACGTCTTTAAAATGCTACTTTTTTATTTATGTTACTTTCATTTTTCATTATTTATTTCATTTCTAGCAGCTACGCTGCCAGCCTTCGTCTGGCTTTTAAATGTACCGGAAAAATTGCCTGAAGGGAGCATCAAACGTTAAATTTAAAAACTGCGTAGAATAACTTTATAAAAAAAAAGTATATTACATATAACAAAATTACAATGAAATAAGCAATATCCCTTAATACAAATATTAATTATCCTAATAAATAAATTAACCAACTTTACGTTGCCTTCTCTCAACAAACGTCCTGTATCCAAGAGAAACATTAAATTTAAAAACTGCACAGAATCATTGCCCTCATTTTTCCAAGTGGCAACAGTGCTGATTTTCAACAGTCAGCAGTCCGGTATACAATTGAATGAAAAACTGTTGCCAAAACCGCATATCTAAAAGAAAGAAACTATTCAAAATGATGCGATAAAATCGAAAAGATAAAATAAAAATAAATAAATAAAAAGAACTGATTCGAATTTTCGAAAAATTGCTTCGAGGTGCACTGGCTCTTGTCTAGATGCACCTATATACCAAGTTTCGTAGCCCTGGGTCTATTAGCTTACGTGCAGCACGCAGGCTCCTTCTTTTATTATATGTAGGGATTATTATGATATTATTTATTATTGTTATTATTTTATTCGTTTGACAGTAATATTATCACAAAATAATTTTGCCGCCAAGGAAAAGGCAATGCCTCAGAGTGTACAGCAAACATTTTAGTAACCTACATTAGTTTCATGTAGCTATATGTCATCTAATTTACCGTATGACTTTATGCGCTTTTATGCCGCATTTTTGTAATGCATTCATCGCAGAGATTAATAAGAACTAATAAAAATTTTAATACCCTTATTTTATTTGCATTTCAACATGGCCCACCAGAGATGAGGAATAAGATTTTTGGTAAGTGGTGGTTCGACCGGTGTTCAAGTTCCGTTGAGTGGTCTAGCGAACTGTTTGGAAGCCTTCTCGTTTTTCACAATGTATAATACGAATAAGAAGCGGTTTTTCCTAGAAAGTCTTCTACAAAAGTATTCCTTCTCTTAGACGAGATAGCCGTAGGGTGCAATTTCAGCGTTTCCTTATAAAACAAAATAATTAACAAGAGCAGTATATTTTATGCAGATTTAAAAGCGTGTCTATACGTAAATAAAATCATAGCTGATTTTCAGATATAATTCAAGCAATTTCATTTCTTCTATCTATGCTTTTAATTTCGGTAGATGAACAGTAGAATTGCCCTCCCCCCCCAAAAAAAAAAATTCCTGTTAACTTCATTTTTCTGGTTATCTACGCTTATGCGATTTCATACCTTGATATTTGCTGATTTTCCTGAGTAGCTGAAATCTCCAGCGTGTTTACTATTTCTTCTGTTAATATTAAAAAAAGTCAGAACCAGTTAGTTTAGTTTGCTGCTGTCTTCTGTTATTTAATAGAACTGGTTTTCTGTAATATTATCTAGAGCATGCTTTCATAAGCAAGTAAATCAGTGACCTGAGTTCATTTTTTTTCCCTTCTACTTTGTAAAAAAAAACAAAAAAAAAAAAAAAAAAAAAAAACGAAATAATGTGTCTTTGAATTTTTTTGAAAGCAGTATTTTTAACGACTACTGATTAGCAAAATAGATCTAGCTTCAATTAATACAGTTTCAAAGAAACATTTGATTTGGATAAATCCGTCTTATTTACGGTTGTCTGTTGTACGATTAACTTGAATTTCATCCCAAATGCATTCAACCAATCGTTTTTAGCGTTAGGATTCCTCTGAAGAGTCAACAGTGCCTTTCAGGTTGTTTTTACGGTAAAACTACTTACGGCAACTACTACATATCTCATATAACGTATAAATTTTCGTAAACTGAATGCGCGTAAAAGTCGAGGCTTTTTACAAAACTGCTATTTATATCGTATATCTGAAAATTCCCTGAGAATATTCTAAATCTTACTTTGAAATAATGTTTTTGAACAAGTACTTTGAATGATTATTTTGAAATCAAATGCAGGTAGTTACATTTCGTCGCAAATACATTATTATTATGAATTATTAATTTATATATTATTAGTAGTAATAATTATGAATAATTATAGTATAAATTTAGTCTTACTTGAATCATACTTACTGAAGTATAAGACTCAAATACTTCGTCTTACTTGACTTACTTTATGGAGTCTTACTTGATTATTATTAATAATTATAATACAAACTTACAAACTAAATCTTCCTTGAGTTTTTGGATATTATTAATAAGCCTGTTAAATGGAATTAGTAAAACTGATAAGTGGAATAAATGATGTTAATGATTACGATGTTTAACTGGAATAAATGAAATTAATTTATTCTATTCCATGAGTAACGTGTATACGAGCCAGTTTCCCTTAGAAAGTCCTCCACGAAGGCATCCCTCCCATTAGGCAGATAGCCCTCGTGTGCTTTGCCATAATTGAATAATACCAATAATAATTTATTCTATTAGTCAAGAACCTTGAATAACTAATGAAATACATAATTCAATAAGATATATATCTGAAAATCGAATTTTCTTACGAACATAAATCTTTCAAATAAATATCTAAAAATAAAAATAAAATCTCTTCAAAAAAATCCTTCAATGCGTGATAGTTAAGAATTAAATACTGCTGCTTGCGGTAATATACGTATGCATGAACTGCACTGCAGGAGAACTCTTCCCTTCCAAATGGGGAAAATTTGAGATACATACATATATCATGGTAAAATGATTTTGCATGCACTCGGCATCCTTGAATTCTGCAAGCTGAGTGAAACAGCTTCTTACAAAAGAGGTATAAACTGGTGGTTGCATATCTTATCCTCATTCTAACGTCCGTTATTCCGGTGTCTATTACAAGAGGAATTCATTTGTTTAATGCTACGACAAAGCAATTGAGGGCTTCCTACCAAAGCGAAAAGATGTTTTCACGGATGATTTCACAAGAGAATTTAGTTCATATTCATGTTGAATTTGAAACCGTGAAAAAACCATGAGTATGAAACCCATGCAGTCGTCCGTTCTCTGGAATTCAAACCCAAGTCGAACTACCAGTATTTAGCTTTCTCAGTTTCAAGACACGCGGCCTCTGACGGGCCTGAAAATCACGTAATTAAAGTTGGATTTTAAAGTTTCAGGAGTACACGTGTAACTGAATGCGTTATTTCCAGTCCATGTTAAGTATAAGTGTTTTGACTGAGCAATTCAAAGAAAGAAAAATGGGAGATGGGGATGAATTTAAGGTAGCTAATTATGTTCAGCTGAGCCAAATAATTTTACTTTTCTCTTGTAGCCTATGCTAATGATATGACAAAAGGGTAAGGAGAAGAAAAGAAAGAAAAAGTCAAGAAGTAGGCGGTTTGAAGTTTTCAATGATGATTAATTAAATTTAATAAGTCAATACTGGAATTTAGTTCATATCCTAGAATACTGGCCACTCAAACTTTCAGTGAATGTTAGCAAGTGAACAGATTCGTCGAATTTTGAATTTCGAAACTGACTGCAATTATCTGCAAATTTTGAAGTAAGTCCATATATTTACGACTGGAACGTAAGTCGGATGCAACTTCTGAAGCCCAATGCGACGTCATTTAAGACGGCAAAAAACATTTATGACGTCACAAAGCTCACTATCTGGTCGAGTCGTGACTACAGAATATTCGTACAACGCGATTGGCTCGAAGTTTGAAAGGGGAGGGGACTGGTTGAGAGTTCAACAAGTGTCGTGGTCTGCATCCGCCATTGCAACTTGTTGTGCTTAGGTGAAAGATCTTGCCGGAGCAGTGCAGTGTTTTTTTGAGAAGAGAACTAAAGTTTTGCTTTTTTATTGGGTTTCGTTACAACTTTTAAAGGCTTTATCGGAGGTAATTAATTTAAATTTTATTTGTTTCTTCTGTTTCATTAAGCGCGTTGAATGTGATTTTAACTTAGAATTTTCTTATAAATGAATCGTAAAGCTATTCAGCGAAAGGTTTTTGAGGCTGCTCTGGACCGGTTTGCCCAGTGGTCGCTTGTTCTCCGGGCACCACTTTATATGGCACTTTTTGTAACGTATGTGATTTCTTAAACCAGCCATTGATTTAAAGAATATATTTTAACATCAATGTAATGTGTGAGTCACGTATATTTTCACTGCTTTTTATATATACATAATTTAGCTTTACATTTCAAGAATTGGAACATAATCAAAACTGTACTTTTAAAATTATACCAGAGCTTTTATTTAAAATTTAAATAAGAAAATTGTAGGGATTTAGGTATTTGCTTTTCTTAATTATTTATTTGTGAAAAGTGGGAGAGTTGGACATGAAAAAATTTAGTTTTGAAAGAGTGGATTTGGATGAATACCAATTCAGATTTTTTTTGACTTAAAAATATAACTTTAAATTAAAGTCGACATAATTTTTTGTGAACTTTATTAATGCGTAAAACTTAATATATATATATATATATATATATTAGATTGGTTGAAGTTTGGTGAAATAACTGCACATATTTATGGTCAAGTTTTAGTGTTTCAAAATTGATGAATTTTAATTATTTTCAAGTATCTTGGTTTTTTTTAGGGTGGATACTTAATTTTAAGTACAGACTGTTTTGCAGTTTGTCAGAAGTTTTTAACCATATATGCTGTTAATTATCTTCATAGTAAAACTTGTGTGCAAGCATGCTATTTCAGTAACGTTATTCAGTACCATATATCGTCTTAAGTGATAGTTTGAAATTTGTGTTCATTTCTCGTCTTAGAATTTTAATGAAAAATTTTAAATTAATATATCAATAATGAAAGCCAAAAATTTTATATCTATGTTAAAAATCTGTATTTTCTAAGCTTTATTTTATTAATGTATGAGAAATAAGGCACAAATAGCTTATTCATATAATTAATATCAGTGTTCCTATATTCTAAGTTTTGAGTCGATCTTATTGCTATTTGTTAATTAATAAAATGAAACTTTTATTACTGATGTATTTCTATATTAGGCATATTAGCAACTTGCACTAATTAAATTTATGTGCCTAAGTATTAATTGGTAATAGCTTATAATGCAAGATCTGAAGTTTCATTTTCAGAGAAACCTTTCATCTATGTATAATTTTAATATCTGAATATTAATTTGTTTCTTTTCAGAATTCAGTAAGTTACAGTCATTGAAATGACTTCTTAAAATTCTGGATATTGCATTTTATTGCATCAGAAGACTTTCACGTTTAATTAATTCACCTTGGACAGACGTATAGGTCATCTGTAGCCTGAATAGCTTCATCTATATTAATGGTTGAATGTTGAATTTTTTAGTTTTAAATTTGTTTACAAAAACTGTTCAAGCTTGCTTACTCTCAAGAAACTGATTACTATTAAATATCTTAAATTTTCACAATAAATATAACTACTAGCTTAAAAGTTTGAATTTGTTTTCCTTTGATATCTTTGAGTTTATAAGAAGGTTCAAAAGATTTTGAATTAAAATATAAAATTTTTAGTTGTAGAAATTTGAAAGAGGGTACTCTAGTTTTAAAAAAGTATTATGATTAGAGTTGCTGTACAGTTTTGTATTTCTAGTTCCAAATCCAAAAGAAAAAAGTTGGTGTTTAATAATGGTTTAATGCTGCCATTATTATTTTTTCAATTACTGCAAGCTCGAGCAAAATTTATGGCATTTCATACTCACTTGCTATTTGGGAAGAAATCTTAATATTTTAAAAATATTTTCCCTGGTGGAATTGAGATTTTCAGAAAAAAATAATTCTTAAAAAGCAAATTTTTTGCCATTTGGTATGAAAAATATCTAGAATATGGATTTTTAGGCCCTTTTAATTCACTATTTTTAATATTGTACAGTTAAATCCAAATTCCTTTTAAATGCTAGTTTCTTATAATTACGTTTGATAAATCCTCTTGTTAACCTCCATCGCTTAAATTGGTGTTTGGTATCTGATATTCTTCGCGTGAAATAAACTCAAGAGGAAATTGTTAAAGAGAGGCTGTGATGGAACTATTTTTCAAATGCTCAATTCAGAGAACATTTGCAGGACAAGGACAAGAAGAAAAAAAAATAACAATAATCTCCGATCCTATTTCAGTTGCTGTTAAGCAGGGAGGGTGAAGCTTGTATCCTAGCTCATTGGTAGAAATAATTCTTTTTGTTTCTTGCTGCCATGTGCCACGTTTCCGCTGCAGTAATCGCAAGTGGGTTAATCTTTTCGCGTAGCTGTAGAAAGGAACTGCTTTCTATATTACTAGCAGATTCTTTTCCTCAATTATTATTATCGTTTTTTAATCATTTAAGTTTGGGCGATCGTTTGTTTATTCATACTTTTATTGAAGTGTTTCGTTTCGGTTACAGTGAAATTTACAAACCTCAATTAAACGGTTAGAAAAAAAATTGAGTTGATATTGCAACCTGCGCTTAGGAGTATTTACATTGACGTTATAAGTAAAATTTCGGCAATCAGAAGCAAGTTCATTATCTTGTTTTTATCGCAGCTGAAATCTGGTTTTCCAGACGAAACTAATTATGTAGATTAATTTCATCTGTTAAGTTGCGTATAATTATTTGAGTTAATTGCAGTCTACGCTTCTTCTAAACTGCACTTGTGCGCGACCACAAACTGTGTGCCGTTGGCCAAGAGCATGTATTTCTGGCTTAGAGTTGACCATCAACAAAGAAAATATTCATTATTAGTATGTGTTATATATAGGATATGCAGCTATATATTTGCACTGCTCTGTAATTAAGAAAAAACATTTGATTTCAGTTGGTCTTTTAATGTCTGGTATTTCGCAACTCTTGAGGCACGAATTGATTTATAGTCAAGCAGTCGAAGGTTATTTGCCTGAGGACAGGATACCTTCGTGAAAGACTTTTTAAGGGAACTTGGTTCGCATTCACGTCACACATGGAAAAAAATACGTACATGCCAGACTATCTTCCGTAATTTTTTTAAATTTTGCTGTATTCCGTTTCGAAATTGTGTAAATTCTTTTATTAAAAAATTGTAAAAAATTGCTAACAATACTGAAAATTGTAACAAAGAAAATTTCTAACCAGCGGCCGAACGATAAAATCACTGAACACTGTTAGTTCGGCCCAATTTCGTATCCCGGGAAGCGGGCTGCTTGCTTGTGTGTTTTCGTGGGTTTCCCCATCTGTAAAGTAAACAGAGCAAAATCGTCCACGCCTCACCAGAGGCCATGCCCTTAAGTTGCTTTACCTTAGTCAATTAACCTAACCTGATGTTTCTTCCTCGCTAGTTACATCGTAGTAATTTGGTCTAAATTAATTGATTTGTTAAATTTCCATGCCTCTTTCAGAAAGTGGAGGAGGAATCGTTAAAAACTTTAGACTTTATTCTCTAGGCGAAACAGAATATATACATAGTCGTATTTTTATTAAGCAATGGCTAATTTATCACATACATGTCTGAAAAAAATTTAGAACTGCTAAAATCATGTAAAACTTGAAATTGCGAAGGGGTGAAGTAATTTTAGCTTTCCAAACCTCTGATTGGTATTACTCTTTTTAACTTGGTATCATTTCAGTTCAGCTGTAGGATATCGTGTGTATCTGAGTGCTTTTATTGTTTTTATCGAAATTCAAGCATATTTATTTTATGCAATTATTGGCCAGTAATCGCTTATGGGTTTGAAAAATTCTGGCAAAAAGTATTTTATTTATGTGTCCATTGGTTCCATATAGCATTCTGTTATGCACCTATTAAAAGTCTAAATTTCTAATCTCCAAAATTTTGCTTAAAACTTGATTCATTAGCATTTTTTTTAACTAAAACACTTTTAAAACATTAACTAAAACATTTGTTTTCGATATTGAGTTCCTTTAATTTTGAACTTCGTAAGCGTAAATAATATTTTTATACGTGCCCCGAGATTTTGTAAACTCTAAGATGATTATCAAGCCAGTATTTCAAAAGTGGTCCAGAGGTCAAAGAGGAGAGTTTGCAATGCTTGGATAAACTTCTCCTAATTGAGTAACCTGTGTAGTCTCCTCTGTTTATTATTTCATCAGTGTGATTTGGAAATTCATTATACTCTTAAAAACATCGCTCATTTGCAGGTTCAAATAGGCTGCCTTTTGTATATTTAGTACTTTGAATTTCTGATTAAATCAATTAAAGTCATTAATTAGCTTTTTACCATAAACACGTTGTGCAGTGAGTAAAATAATTTTGAAGTTTCCCATTCTTCCTGTTTAATTTTTATTCATACCAAAAAATAAAATGTTGATTTAATTTTAGCATCTTTGCAAGTTAAATGTAATATATTATTTTGATTGGATTTTAGGTTACCTTCCCTTGTTTAAATTCTGCTTTGGAAGGCCAACTTAGTTCCGAAACTCAAAAGAAAATGCTGTCTAATGCTTTACTCACTATCTAAATGCTATTGAGAACAAAACTTGGTAAACTGCAGAACGCGAACTTGTTTCTTAAATTTCCTTCTGAAACATTTATGTCTGTCCAAGTCAAAATTTTTTGATGTTCTAAAACTTCATACGAAGTCTGAAGCTTTTTGCATATTTAAAAGAACATATGTAAGGTCCGTGTTGGGTACTACATATAGTTATACTATTTACAATCTGATGTTTTTCCATCATCAGTGTTTTTGATTGAAACGGCCATCTTCTGTTGATAAGACACTAATATTGAGGTCGGAGTCCAATGGTCAAAATCTTGATCGTTATCTTGCGTGATGCGTGCAACAAAATATGAATTCCTGTACAATGCGATTAGGATGCGTAGTTTCTGACCAAATGGTCAACATATCTGCGACACCACGCCAAAACACGAACCTGCATTTTTGGTTGTTTTGACCTAAAGGTATTTTCGAGATTATTTTTGGATGCCT